ATGGGACTCCACACACCCAGCAGAGAGGGCCAGCTTCCTGCCCACTCCCACCCTCCTATCTGCTCATCTCAGCCTCTCTCCTCCAGGACATCGCCTCACCCAAGTTCTCCATGCCCTCCCCTGTCCGCACGGTCCTTGCTGCTGACTTTGACAATGACCAGGAGCTGGAGATCTTCTTCAACAACATTGCCTACCGCAGCTCCTCAGCCAACCGCCTCTTCCGGTAGATGCTTCCACCTGGACCATGGCCTTTCTCCTTTGATGTCTGGGGGATGGGTCAGGGAGGAAGGTTTACGAATCAGAAAGGAAGGGTTCCCGGGGCCAGGGAGTCAATGCCAATGTGGAGGAAGGTCCCCTGATGAAGAAACAGAAAGGAGGGAAGGACAGGGACTGAGCTAGAGGTTGCAGGGACTGGAAGAATTGGGGGTGAGGAACCCGCCTCCCGCTTTTGCAGGGAAAGGGGCAGAGGGTCATGGCCCAGAGTGTGCACAGAACCCAAGCTCTGTAGATACCAATCCACATCACCACAAAAAGTAGGGACAGAGTCGAATCTGTTTGCTAAACCTGTGTTAAGCAAAGACAAACAGATTTATTTACTGCAGAACTTCTCAGAGCCTTTCACACAACCATAAATATTTTAACTTTCCAAAAGATGGGTGGAGTACTCCAAGTAGATTTGACCACAGGACGCATCTTTCAGAGATGTTTTCTTGGGATTGGTGTTCTGCAAAACATCCTCTAGGAAATACTCGATGACAAGCATTTCTTGTAAATAAGGAGAAGGGAGTTTCAGAAATGGAAGGAATCTGCAGGCAGCTGAACATTGTGCCTAAGGAGGAAGAGTTGGATTTTCTGAGGCAACACTTCTCAAAGGGGGGTCTAGAGACCATTGGCATCCAAATCACTTGGAGTGCTTAAAGTACATAATCCCAGTGCCCACCCCAGATCTCCTGATTCAGAATCTTAGGGGGCGAAGCCCAGGAATCTGTATTTTAACGAGCACAGTAGGCACCAGGTGGTTCATATCACTCTAAAGTTTGAGAACCACTGTTGGGGAACAAACCTTAGGATGCATGTGGCCTGAGATGTCCCTATTCCTGGTCTAAAACATGTTAATGAGGCTCAGGACCAGGTAGGGAGAGGAGGGTGGGCCAGGGGCCTTGGGTCCAGGAAATGGGACAGATCACCTGCTCAGTTCCCTAAGGCCCCTACCCCTTCTCCCAGGAGGGCCCAACTATTAATAAAAGGCATGAGCTGTGACTAAGCATGTTTTAAAATATAATTATTAACAAAGCATCAATCCTGACTGGATGTAATCACCCCCCGAAGGCACCAGATTTACTAATTAGGTGCCTTGCGAAAAGCTTATTCACAACTTCCAGATTAATTGCAGAAGATCAATTGCTCGTTAACAGAGACACTGCTTTCCTTCACTGGCTAATAAAGTGTCACTCGCCAGGGCCCCTGAGCACTGAGGAGTCTAGTGCTCCTGTCTCTGTGGCCTGAGATCCCAGGCACCTCCCCTGTCTGCCCACCCTTCCCGCCTGTTGTAATCTCTCTGGCCGCCAAGGGTGGGCTAGGAGGGAAGAAAGGTCAGCTGGCCCAGGGCTGTCAGTGCTTAGAGTGAGTCACCACATGGTTGCCCAGTGGGTTAATGTGTTTGCTGCCACACAGTGGCAGCCGAAGCCACCTTCCAGGTACGTGGCTGTGCCCCAAATCCCCCTGGCAGATGGCTGGGTCCTGAGCACGTAACGGAAAGCAGAGCATGAGGAAGGCTACAGCTGGGACTGCCACTCAGCAGGCAGCTCTGGAAGTTTAACCCCCACCTGTCCCATACTGAGCAGGTTTTCACCTGTCACTGAATGGAACATCATGGGCTCCCTGGTCTTGGTGCTTTCCCGGGGCACACCAGGCACTGGGGACTCAAAGCCTCAGTGGTCTTGAGTCTTCAAGTCCTTTAATGATACCTAGGACAACTGAGGAATTAATTCATCACCCAAACCAGACACTTAATGAGTATGAATAGGAGCCCTATTAATAAGTGTGGGATGACAGGTGCAAACAGGGACTCTCCCAGGCCAAGTGGGTGTGTATGGTCACCCCGCTCATGCATCTGAACATGCCTCTGTTCTGTTCTCATGGGGATTCCTGCACCCACCCCAGCCATTCTTCTTGTCTCCAGTCCTGCAGAGCCAGCTGTTGAAAATGTAAATCTGGACATACCCCTCTTCCTCTTATAACCCGTTAGAAGCTCCACATTGCCTTTAGATTAAGTCCAAACTCTTTGACATGACCCACATGACCGGGCTTTGTCCCCAGCCTTGGCACTCTCCACTTCCCCATTTACACCTAAGACCAGGCACACCGAGCTTCTTTCAGTTCTGGGCTGTGCCGGGCAGGACCCTCACTCTGCCCACCCTCCCTCTGCATCTGAGGGACACGTACTCACTCGCCACTCTGGTCTCAGCTTTGCTGGCCCTTCCTCTGGGAAGCCCTCCGTGATTGCCCTGGTCTCGGTGGGCTTGTCCTGCTCTGTGATCCCCATCAGCCTTCAGCACACTGTGTGTGCTTCCTGTTGGCATGGACTCTGAGCTCCACCCTTCCTAAACCTCACTGTACCCCCGGGTCATCACACAGTAGTTGCTGCAGAAGAATTTGTTCAATGAATACGTGAATACAGTGGAATTGCTGGGTTTTATCCTTAGGAATCCCTAACTGCACTGTCACTTGAACCAAGAGGTGTCTGCCTAGCTATGGCAGAGTCTGCAGAACCCAAATGGTCAAAGGGACTGTGGGTGTCAGGCTGAGATATCACACCTCCATCCAGCAAGTGTGCACTCACGCATGCACACCTACACACAAGTCCACTGCCCAGGCACACTGGACACTACCCAAATGTCCAGTGGTCATGCTCAGCATAGACAACCCATATAGACAGAGGACTCCTCCTGGGGCATCTTCTCAACCCTGCAAACACCCTGCAGTTCTGCCAGCTCTCTCTGCCATCAGGCCACCAAAAGCTCCCTCTCAGAGGACCCCAGCCCTCTCCAGAAAGCATTGGTCACACCACAGCCCTCTGGTGATTCTCTTTGATTTGGGCAGACAACAGCAATGTTCAGTATGGTAGGAAAAGTGACACAGATTTCTCCCAGTCCCCTGTCTTCCCCCATCATTGCTCTCCACATCTAGGGCAGAGCACCCAAGGCTGTGAGAATATAGTAAGTCAGAAAAATTAGAGATGAAAGCTCGCCACCTTCCTCAGCATTAAGCTTAGTGTAGAGAAAAGGCAGGACTTTTACAGCAGACTTTTCTGAAACAAATATTACTAAGATTGAGAGTTCAAAATAGACAGAACCCTGCAACCTAAAGGGACCCCTTTCCTCCCTTTTGCCTCTGAAGTCTGCACACATATCCCACATACATGTGCCGGGAGCTTTCTGAGAGCCAGGCACTGTGTTAGACGCTGCAGGAGGTGCAGAGATGAGCAGCACAAGGTCCCAGCACAGAGCTCGCAGTCTAACTGGGGAGACAAGATGCCTTCATACAGCACTTCAACACACGGCAGAAAGGGATAAAGACCACAAAAATGTTAAAGGCATAGGAGGAAGGGATTATGTCCAGCAGAATGATCAAGGAAGGCATGGAGGAGGTGGCATCTGAGTGGGGTTTGAACCCAGGGCAGCATCCAGAACTAGGAAACCCAGGGGCCACTTGCAGGGAAGCGAAGGTCAGTTGAAGGGAGTTGTATCCCTGCCCCTGTTCCATCCATCACCTGCCCTTCTCCAGGCTGTCTATAATTCATCCATTAGAGAAGGAAAAATCAATATTTACCAACATATATTAAAATCCAAGAAGGGTGTAGGCGGGCTCTGTGAGCATACGGGTGGCCCCCATGCAAATGGCACCTGGGGATGCTCGGGGGACAGAATGGAGCCAGGGGCCTCTAGGTTCAGGGGGCCTGCTGGGACCTCACAAGAACCAGCCTGTCTCCTCTCCTGCAGCGTCATCCGCAGGGAGCACGGAGACCCCCTCATTGAGGAGCTCAACCCTGGTGATGCCTTAGAGCCTGAGGGCCGGGGCACAGGTAAGGGACATCAGCAGGCTCCCCCTGTCTCAGTGCTGTCTATACCCTGGAGGGAGGGTTGGAGAGACAGGGTTCCCCCTGTCCCTGC